TGATGACGCTTGAAGCAGAGTCCCAGGCAGTCAAGCACAGAGCTGCAACCGACCGGAGGCTGTCTGCCTGCTGGTGAGGCAGAGTTCGAGCTTGAACTCGAGGAAAGGGTGATTTCACTTCAAATTGGGAGACGCGGTCGCGGAGGCGGATGATTGAGAGATTGAAGTCGATGGTAATAATTCAAGGCAGGATTTAGGCTGGAAATGAGCGGATGCGGTGTTGGGCCTGGGTGGAGTGTTTTCGTTTGAAGTTTGGGCTAGGAAGTTGGGCCATTATCTTGGGCCAGTTACAATAATTTTTTTTAAAAAAATTGAAAACAAAAAAAAAAAACTGTGGGGTCATTTGACCCCACATGACCCCATGTGGATCCGCCCCTGCATGTCCCCAAAATATGCTATAGATGGCATGTTTTCTGTGAAATCGGATGTATTTAGCTTTGATGTTTTGGTGCTTGAGATTGTAAGTGGCAAACTCGATTAATCGTAGTCAAATTTTTTGGTTTTTCACCACTTGATACTGTTGGATAATAACCAAACATGCATTGAACTTTTCGAAACGTTTTCAATGGGTAACTAAACTTTAAAAATCGCCTCGTTAATCACTGAACTTTGCAATATGTAATTCCATCTATCACTGATTGAATGGTCGTCCAAAAAATTGATGAAAATGTTGACGTGGCTCAAGAAATTGCATATTGGCTCGATGTTTCAACTGTTAGACGTCAAATCAGTTAAGTGCTATACACGTGGAGAATTGTTATTCAGATAACACGTTTTCTTACAAAAAAAAAAACATAAAACATTTCAAGTTAACCAACCCATCTCCCAAACAAAAGAAATCCCTAATTCATCATTTGAAACCCTCGCGAAGAACCCCGCTCCCAAATTGAAACACCAGGACTAGAATTTTAGTCTCCCAAACCGGAATTCTAGTTGAACAAAGCCCAACCTGACTCTCAGCAACACGGAATCTTTGAGTTCAAAATCGATTATACCCAAAATCTTCTCTATGATATTGCTATGACTTCACAAAAAACAACTTGAAGGTTGATGAATCTAATGGATTTGAGCAGTAACAATCTAGGAATACAGAGGTTTTGACCAGACAAGTGAAATTTCCATTTTCCAATTGTACAGCTGAATATATTAAGGCTTTGATTTAACTTCTTCCTTTTTTGAAATCGTAAAGGAAGTTCTTTTCCCACAACATTCTAGTAAAATTCAACGAAAATGTTATGGGCTGTTCTCTTTATATTTCAGTTTTGTATTTTGAGTTTTGAATTTATTTTCGATTTTGTGTTTTTAGTGTTCATTTTTAGAATGTTGAAAATGTGTTCTTTTTGATATTTTGAAAAATTGTTTTGAAACCACCAAAAACGCGTTTTGAAAATTTTGGTTTTATTATAACTAAAAACACTCAAAACGACAAATTTGTCGTTTTGAGTTTTCTTCGTAAATTTTTAATTTTTTTTCAAAAACGCGTTTTCACTGTTTTAGAAAATCGAAAACAAAAAATGACTTGAAAATGGTCAAGAGAATAGCATTTTATGACTCATTTCTTGGGCACTACAGTAAGCTGATTTCTTTGTAGTGTTTTCGAGTTCAGCCAAGATAATACCTACAACTAACAAGTGTAAACTTACCTCTTGTAATCACGTGTCAGTTAAATTTAAGAACTCGAATTTCTAAGAAGACAATTCTAGCATACCATTTGAGTATGTTCTCGATAAATAAATGAATTCATTATTTCAATAGGGATGAGAGAATAAGGATAATTAACACATAACATCCTTACATTTCACTACTATTGTAGAAAATGTTCTTATCTTTCATTTTTTGACATTTCCACATTTTATTGCTCAAAAGATCTTTTTCATCCATTTTTTCAATTAAAAATTGTGAAATAACAAATATAATACTTTATTTAAAAAAATGAAATGAAAAAATTAATTGCAATTATAGTCCCCATTTTTTTAAAAAGCGCAAATGAGTCTCAAATAAATTATTAAAAGGGTAATTAACACATAATGTTCCTACATTTCACTATTATTGCCAACAACGTCCATCTCTTTCTTTTTTGACATATTCTCCTTTAATTACACATTGGATTGTACAAACCATCATTTCTATCCATTTTCATCCAATTTCTCAATAAAGAGTTGTGAAATGATGAATATACCATCTTATTTAAATAAAAAGACTAAAAAATTAATTGCAATTACAGTCCTAAATTTTTGTAAAAAGTGCAAACGAGTCACAAATAAATTATTAAAAAATAATTTCTTTAAAAAAAATTGCAAACGAGTCCCAAATAAATTATGAAAAATTAGAAATAAAAAATTTAATTTTCATTAATTTTCTTTTAAAAAAAATATAAGGACATATTCATCATTTCACAACCCTTTTATTGAAAAATTGGATAAAAATAGATAGAAATAATAGTTTACGCAATCAAATGTGTAATTAAGGGTGAAAATGCAGAAAAAAAAATGAAAGGTAAAAACGTTTTTCGCTATAATAGTGAAAGATACGAACGTCATGTGTTAATTACCCTTTTAATAATTTATCTATAACTTGTTTGCGCTTTTATATAATTTTGAGACTATGGTTGCAATTAATTCTCTTTTTCTTTTTGTTTTACTTAAAGAAAATGTTATATTCATCATTTTACAATTTTTAATTAAGAAAATGGATGAAAATGACATTTTGAGCAATGAAATGTGCAAATAAGGGTGAAAATACCAAAAAATAAAAGGTAATGACGTTTTTCATAATAACAGTAAAAGGTGGAGACGTTATATGCTAATTACCTGAGAGAATAATACAAATGGTTTTGCCATGTACAGTTACAATTTTGAGTAAAAGCTAACATATTTTGTCATAAATTCACTCAACTCGCTGGTTTTTGCAATTTGGATAGTTTCATTTGCATGATTGTGGTATACGAGTACAGGAAACTCCCAAGTCAAACAATTTGGAGATTAATGTAACTTTACCAACAATTTTTCATACAAAATGTTAGATTGAAACGTATTTGTCAGGATTGAAAAGTATTGACATTTTACATATCCGGCCAACTAATGGATTCTCTATTCCTACTTCTGCAACAAGATAGCACTACAATGTCACAAGAAGACGAAGAAACAGAAGAGCCTCCTTCAACAGAAACGCAGAATGTGAGACCATTTTTTGCTGTTAAAGTCTATGAAAAGGCTGGAACTGCAATTGATCCTTGTGTGCAGAATAAAGTGGCATCCTCAAACTACTTTAGCACCAAACAGCTGGTGACCAAAAAAGCCACAATGCATGCATGCTTTGTTGGAAATATATGTTATTGTAATTAAGATATCATTATCTCAAGAATCCAGTTTATCCGAAAAAGGCAATTCATCAATCTCATGAAGGCACGAAGAGATGTATGACATCAGATAGATAATCTTCCAGAACAAACATTCAATCAGCTAAATCTGCCGCATGCTGCACTTCAACTTCTCAGCTTCAAGATCTTGCTTCAAAGACTCAACTCGTTCAAGCAAATCCATGTTTTCCTGTTGAGACAGCATGAACAAATTAAAGTGTTTTTGAATTAAAAACAGAACCAAGAAAGAAAAAATGATTAATCATAACAAAGCTAAATGAAGTTCTGAAACATTTCACCTTTTGCAGTGTTTCCAATTTCTTTTTAAACCCAATAGCGTCCCCTGATTTGTGTCTAAGAGATTCCTTAATCTATATAGACAAACAAAATATAAGTTCTGTTAGTAAGAGCGACAACTTTACGCCATGCTTGCAAAAAGCAAAAAATGCAAATTTTACAGTTCTCATTACATGAAAATTTTAGAAACTGTACATCAAATGTTATCATGAAATGAATATGATCTCCCTCGCCATTTTTCAAGAAAATCATATATGTACTGAGATTACAAGAAACATCAAAACCACAAGAATTTATGCCAATATGTAGCCTCGGGCCGATTCAGGAAAAATTAAAGGAATGAAGATTTAGGTAGTTGAAATATGTTTCGCGTAGACCAAAGAGACCTCATCTATAAAAGTGACTCGATCTCCAAGGAACATGGGAGAAGAGGGAGGGGTAGACCAAACATGACATGGCATATGGTGGTTGCTGAGTATCTAATTGCTTTGGATCTTCCAGTATATCTAGCAATGCAGACTAGCGGGAAGAAAAAAAATTAATGTAGCAGACCCACGTCTATTGGAAAAAATGCCTCGTTTGTTGTTATTGTTATGGAGTTTGGGTACAGTGTTGGGGTTAAGGTTAGATATAGTTCATTTCTAAGGTTCGATCAAATATTTTTTTAGCTTCATATATGCTGTCCATCTGCCTCTTCTCATCTCCACCTTTAACTGCATGTATTGATTCGTTAATGTTCTTTTAATTTGAATACTCAAAGACATTCCAATTTATTTGGTATTGATTAGGAAAATGAAGCATATACAAAAATGCGAGAGAGAAAAAATGGCATATTTTGCAAGATTAAAAGCCTCAAAATGACAAACAAAGATGACATGAACCCATAACATATTTAAGAAATCAAGATAGAGCATAATCACAGTTTGAACTGGTATAGATGAATGACCTGATCATACTTCTGTCTTTTTTGGTAATCTATGTCAACCCACCAAATCAATCATGTTGCAAACATGATATGTGTATGAAGCTTAGCATGAAAGTAGGTCATGCTTAATAGTATATTACTGTCAACATATGTGGTACTAGCTCTACTTTTACTTAAACATAAAAGCCAAGAAAGAAGGTGATACATAATATAAGGAATATCGTTATTGTACTTTTAGTTTTTTATTTGCAGTTTCATATCAAGTGAGCCATGGTGTGTCATATATGACAAAACATGATGGATATCAACCCATTGGATCAAAATGTGATTGACGCATAGACAAAATTATTTACAGTTGAAGACAACATGGACCTGTGTGGGACGATTCAATATATACATGGATTCTGTAGAAAGTGATCCCGAGCCAAAAAAAAATATCTTACTCAATGTAAGCATGACAAGGGCACATGACATGCAGTGTAGGCTATTTATCTTCTATCTACCAGTCCAATAGACACGTTCACTTTTCTGTTTGTACTTTCATTGACTCTGGTTCAAGTTTTAAGCCCCCCTCCTAATCTTTTATTTTCTTTCAGATAAATAAAGACTCCACCCTTGTGGTGGTTTGATTAAATACTGAATAGAAAGACAAAAATTGTACTTTTCAATATATTCAATATAGACTCTACAAAATGCACTTATATCCAAAGTTCCTTAAAGTACTTGCTGATTTTATCTACCTCTGCTCTAAGAAATTAAAATTCATTAATAAGTCATGTGTCTCTCACATGATACACTGCTTAACATCATCTCAGTATGGATTACTTTTGGGTAGTGTGTCGAATGGAGAAAAGAGAGATTACATTAAAAGGTTCAAAATGCCTAATTACCTAAACTTGACAAGGTCCAGACTCCAGGCCAAATAGAGCAGTACAAACTTCAAACTGTCTGAATTGTGTTCTACTGAGTATTGACCTAGATTAGATAGAATTCAAAGCAAGAGATATATATCATAATTGAGTGACAGTGTAGGGTAATGTACAGAACTCTGTGTTACATATTCTAGAAATAAAGGTGGATCGCCGGGGCAATTAATGGCATACGTAGTTTCCATGGCATGAAAGATTTAGAAAATCTAAGATACTAATCAGAGTTTGTATATATTTACATTTGGAAATTATTTGCCAATAGGTCCCTAACCTATATAATCAAAAGATAGCTTTGCTATTACAAGTAACAACGTTGACCTAAAAACTATATCCAATGAAATCACGAAATGAATATGATCTCCCTTTCCATTTTTCCTAAGAAAATCTTATATATACTGAGAATGTCAAAACCATGATAACAGAGTAAGAAGATCGAATTAATACACCAGTATATGCACTCCACATTTTCAGCCAAAGGGGTTTTGGTGTGGAGGTGTGTCAAAGTTAGGTGTAGTTCATTACTTATTTTCTTAGGTTTGATTAAATATTTCTTCCCTCCATAGATGCTGTTCATCTATCCTTCATCTCCATCTTTAACTTCATAAAGTTATATTGTTTCATGTACTGACTAGACTTTCCTGTTTAAATGGTGTTGAGAGATGAGTTGAATAATCCGTTAAAAAAATGAAGCGTGTGCAGCAATGTGACAAAGATAGAATGACATCTTCTGAGGGATGACAAAAAAAGATGACAACAATCCAAAATAAATTTAGGAAATCAAAATTGAGCACGATCCCCTTGTGAACTGATATAAATGAATAGTCTAGATCAATTTTCATTTTTTAATCTTTTCCTTCGGGATTCTTCATGATAAATCAAATCAATCACATCGTCATACATGTCTGAAGCATGGTATGAAAGTAGGTTACAGTAACAAGGCATTACGATCAATATAGGTAACACTCGGTCTAATATAACTTGTAAACAAATTCCATCACATTTAAAGCGTGGAAATGTGATACATAAGACAAAGAAAAGTGGAATCGTGCTTCTAGGTTATCGCTTGCAGAATCATATCATAGTGAGCCATGGCATGCTGTATATGACACAAAAAATGATGGATTAGATCATAATGTGATTAGCCTATAGATGAGATTATTTACAGTTGAAGACAGCAAAAACCGGTCTAGCACGATTCAATGTGAACCAGGATTCTGTATAACAAACTATATTTCTCTATAGAACACGACTATTTACTCTATGGAACACACTTACTTCCAACAGTTCCTTGAAGCACTTGCTGGTCTTCTCTACCTCTGCATCAAATCTCTGTCTCCACTCTGCAGATTCATCCATAGCTTCTCTATTAGCAAGATCAAATTGTTTTCTGCAACAAGAATATCAACCAAAACAATTGATATCGCAGTGTATGAATATCAACTGCCATTTTAATATTACACAACATAAACTTAATATAAAAGAAATATTTGCCCCAAAAATATAGTTCACAAATTGAGCAGTCATCCCACCAGTTTCAGTTCATGGGGAATGTGCTACAGTAAAACTAATTAAAATACAGATTTCCTCTTTTTTTGGGAATAGTTTTAACATATGGGTACAAGAGAATGCTCAGCCATTTTTATAGTCTTCTTGATTACAAGATATCAATTGCAATCGCCAGGCCAACTTTAAATACAAACATATAAATAATTCTACTGTAAAAGCAACAAATAAATTAATGGGTTCCTAATAAATTAAATATTTACAGGGCATTACTGTACTCGGATTTTTCTTCAAGTGAAACCTATCAATCGAACTGATGACAGTTTCAAATCAATAAGAGAAAATCAAATAACTGAGCAGAAACAAATTCCAGTTTTGGTAGATTTTCCATCCATACACAACAAATCCACAAATAAATTAATGAAGGGAAGAAACTCATCGTACGAAAGCAAATATTCACAAAGAAAAACCTAACCTTAATAATTCGGTTTCACTGGAAGAAATACGATAATCGATAGTCCAAAGCCTCAAGTAGACGGCAATACCCATCAGCATTACCAACCCCAAAGTTATCAAAATTTGCCGCCTCCTTCCTCGACCCATTTTCTCCCTCTATTTTCTCTCTCTAGACAACCTTCATTTTAAAGACGCGATTTTTTTTCCCTCTCTTCTCGCCATGATTATGCGATTTTGGTTGTAAGTGGAGCTGGTAGGAGAGGACATGATTTGTCCTACTTCACAATTTAGCCCCTCAATCTTTTATGATTATATTAGGCGAGTCCTCTAAGTTTTGTGTTTGATTGATATTATTGAGAAAATAATATATTTGAAATAGTGAAATGATGGGAAATATGCAGTTAAAAAGTAAATAAAAGTTATTGATGTGATGAAAAATATATGATTGAAAATGAGTTTTGAAATAATGTATTTTGAGATAATGTGTGTCAAACAGGGGCCTAACCGACTTTCTATGTTTTGCAAGCAATTCAACGAATATAAAGGCTACTTAATTAAAGTATCCTTGAATGTCCTTTATGAGTAATTTTTCATTCTCTTCTCGTCTCAAAAAGGTTTAATCAGATTATTTAACACGACTACAAATAAAATTTAAGCCCCCATTTGGATCACCTTATTTTCTTATTAAAATAAAAAATACGACTGTTATCCATCACATCAACATTTAAATTCAAATTTTATATATCTTGTGTGGACCCCAATAACGACTATATTTTTCATTCTCATTCAATAAAAAAGTGGCTCAAACAATACCTAAATGTTTTTTGAAAAAAGTGAAAGTACTTTTATGATTTGTTGGGCAATCATGTTGTTGTAACTTGTAACTCAAGCATGAAGTTAAGAATTATATACTACGTATAGATTAATTAGTGTTTTCATTCGTCACAATCAGAGGTCATTATTTCATTGTGAACAAAGAAAGTGATAAATTGCACCATTGTTCCTTAATTTATTGTCTGAATATCAAGTTAGTCCTCAACCTTGAAAAACCTAACTTTGTAAATTGAAACTGTCTTGCATTTTAATTTCTCAATTCAAGTTGGAAAACAAAACCTAACTTTGTAAATTGAACGCATAAGAGCGGCATAATGATTTAAAACTTCTTGTGATATGAAATTGGTTGTGCTACTATAATGACAAATTTAAGACTAATACACTATTTAGATAACACGTTTAGGTCCAATGGTGTCCAAGAAGAATTCCAATAAACGAAATCCACACTTGAATTCAGTTTGTGACAAAGATAGACTGTCAAGAACATAAAGAATGTAAGATATGCAGTCGATCAGATCTATTAAGAATCTTACATGAATAGTAGTTGGAGTCGACAGCTCTTTCAAGAGTCCACATCTGAGATTCCTGGAGAAGATGATCAAGTTGATCTTTGCAAACAATTTGATACACTATCGTCATTAAATCCTTTGAGAGAAATGTGTTTTTTGATACGTGATTTGATTTAACATGGCAATTTAATTATCAATTACGATAACAATCAAATTACTATGTAAAGTCAAATTGGATGTCTCCAAAATTCATGGCATTGAGCAAAAAAACCAAAATTTTGCGTTAGGCGCATTTTCGGGATTAATAAACTTCATGAATATAACTTAATCACCATGATCATTGGACTTCATCCTGCATTATAATACACTGAAAATTTGTTATTTGGAGAAGTTAAGTACAAGTTTGACAATCTTAGTGGTGAATAAAAATATATTAAACATTATTATTTGGAATTTTTTTTTCCAACTTCGACGCAATCATAATTTTATGGATGTAGAATTGCATAGTTTTTCGGAATCAAGCGTGTTCGACATATCGTATTGAATTATGAGCGAAAGTATTAAGAGGGGTAAAATTATTGAGGATAGATATAGGGAATTGGATGGGGTCTTCATTTAATTGGCCTAGTCAAACCAAGTTGTAGTTTAAAAAGTCCATCAACTAAATTCTTAAGTTAGAAGGCCTAACTATATGAAAAATGAAAAATATAATTTGTAAGTGACTATAATGTTCTTGTATACAAAAAGACATTATTGCTCTAATTCTCATTTCAATTTCCATTTAAACCTAATTGAGTTCTACCTTCCATTTGTTCTTCAAAAATCGATTCTCTCTCTACAGGTATGCAATCCTTTCATATTCTCATCATA